GTAAAAAGATGATGCTCCAAACCTGATTAGTTGCTCCTCTAACTTAAAAGTTTAAAGAGATATTTCTGAGCAATAAAAAGCCATTTTTATATAAGATAACCAGAGTTACAGGCAACAGAATATTATTCAAACAAAAAAAGGAAACAAAGAAAAACCAAAAACAAACAGGTTGTGTTCCTTTTTAAATAGCCAATAACTTTTCCAAGCCTCAGGATGACCACTGTCAGAGCAGACGAGGGCCTGATGATGATGCAGGAGCTCGATGATCGACTGAAGGAACAAATTGACAAACTGGAGCACATCCGTCTTGCTGCATCTGAAGTGAAGAACAATATGTCTGCGGTTAGTTCCTTTAAACCCTCATCTATAATCAAAATCTCAAACTAAATTTTAGTGATGCTAAACTCAAAATTTTTTTTTTTACTCTTCTAAAATAGACCCACAGTGATCTGAGCCAGTGTATCAGTGACCACCTGGAATGGCTAAATCACCTTTCAGATCGAGTTGAGACTCTTCACATGAACACAGCGGTTTTTATCCAGGTAGGAAACAGATTGGATTCACATTCTTTTTTATCAGTTTGAATGCTGTGGATTTATTCAGTCACACAGAACCACATAGAACCTAGTGTGTTTTACATTTTAATTTTTTACTTGACCCTCTAAATGTTTCCAGATGAATCCAAAGCCTCGTACATGGACGTCTAGACGTGGTTCCAGACAAAGCTTCCGTTTGGGACGCCTCCAGCAGCCAGACGATGCTCTGTCTGAATTTGGCTGGTCTCCAGTTCGTATGCGACGTAACAGCGATGCCACCTCTGAAATGTCATGTAACTGGTGAAAGGAGCAATTACATTTTACACCTAGCTATTTAGTCCAAATATTGCATTTGGAATTAGCTAATATTTTCAGGACAACTGTTTACTTGGAAAAGGGTTAATGGGTTCTTCGGTTAGAATACCTGAAGATCACCTACGTGTGGCTACCACAAGCACTTCCATCACCACTATCCTCAGCAGTATATGTCCCACTTAAAGCTCATCAGATTTCTGAAATTGATGTTGTATACATTCTGGTATGTCATAAAAAAATAAAAGGTTGTTTTTAAAATTTTGTTAAACTTCATTTGGAAAGCTGCTTATATTTACATAGCCTAAGAATGTTATGTGAGACTATGAGCTAAGCATTCCTCTGCTTTCTGATGTAACATGTCAACAAACCCCAGTATGGCAAGCTATTTGCTATAAAAACAGTTTAAAAAGCCAAATAAAGGGACAGTTGCAGAATCAATCCAACAGTAGTAGGTGGTGTTAAGCTTTGGGACTATATTAGGATTATATTATATGTTTCTCTGGAAAGAGACAGAAGAGGATAGGGTAAAAGGAGACTGCTGGTAAAATTTAAATAACTATCAAATAGAGAGCTAAATTAAATCTAAAAAAATATAATAATAACAGCACCAACATTAATTGGTGCTGATATCATATATTAAGGTCAAAATTAAGAGACAAGCAGCATTTAAAAAATCATGGCGTTAAAGAAGTGCAGAGACTCAGAATATGCTCACACACAAAAACAAGTTAAACATATGTCACTCAGTTGCTTTTCCTTATTTTTTATATTTTCTACTTTGTAGTAAAATAGTGGAAACATCACAAATATAAAGCAAAATTAAACTGAGCTGTGTAGAAACAAAATCATTTTAAGTCCTTCAACATTTTATGTAATTTTGAATCGAAACTGCCCTCCTGTTTTTTAATTATTTAATTTTTTTTAGAATTCAACTTTTTTGTCATTACACTGTCACAAGCACAAAGCAACAAAATTCGATCTCCGCATTTAAACCATCCCCTTGGGGAGCAGTGGGCTACTATTGTGCGGCACCCGGGGAGCAGTGTGGGGTTAAGGGTCTTTGCTCAGGGACCCAGAGTGGCAGTCCGTGGGAGTGGGGTTTGGACTCAGAACCTTTGGGAGCCAAGAGCGATGCCCTAACCACTAGGCCACCATTCTTCAAAATAGGAAGTTATACTAAAATAAAGACAAACAATTGATTCAAAATATGTGTCCAAACTTTTGACTAGTTTAATATGTACTTAAAATACAAACCAACAGACTCCTTTATTGTCTAGAACAGGGGTCTTCAATGTTTTCCAGGCCAAGGACCCCCAAACTGATGGCGAGATGGAGCAGGCCCCCCCTAATTATAAATATATTGTATGAAATTGGTCCTATAGTCACTCTATTACTTATTGAGTAATGAAACGAAAGTAATTTTGCCCTGGGATTATTAAAGTATTTCTGATTCCTGGTTAATGGGACAGGTGTTGTGAATGAAATGGTGCCCAGCTTGAAAGAGCTCCTGTGTGTCGCTGAATGTGTGCATTGATGACTGAAAGACATCTTCTGCCTCCATTTATCTGTTCACTACTGTGTGTTGAATTCATTTTAATGTGTATTTTAAGACATTTCAGTTTTGTGAAAAAAATAGCATGGGTGGAAATATAAAATAAAAAGTCTAATCAACAAAAATGTTTGCGACCCCCATGCAGTACTTCCGTGGCCCCTAGAACATTGATTCCCAAAGTTTGTAATATCATTACAACCATTGCTAATTGATTTTGTAGAAATGTGTCTTTACCCAACCAATGTTTTGGTACTATGTTATTAATCCAAAGCAGAAAAGTTTGGGAATGTTTCCAGTTTTCAAGAATAGAACAAACACATAAGTTATTTGAGACCATTCAGCTGAAAAAATACACGACACCGGTGTCTTATTATATGGTACAATGACTTGCCATATTGCTTCCTATCTCTAGCTGTAGAGGGCGCTGCTCGCCCCCCTCCGCTGTGAAGCTGTTAACCTCTGAGTTATAAATAAAGGTTTGGCAGAACGCGTGGGTGATATTTCTGGAAGGAGCTGACTCGCTGAAGTACCACTAGCAAAGCCCACAGTCTACCATTGCAAAGTAGCACTTCCACTCACACTGAGCGCATTTAAACTTTTTAAAAACTGATTGATAAACATTACGGGTAAAGAGTGAGCCTCTGAAAACATGGCGGAAAGTGACTGGGATACGGTGACTGTGCTGAGGAAGAAGGGCCCAACTGCTGCCCAGGCCAAGTCCAAGCAGGTGAGTATGGACGCCTGAAAACAAGTTTCTTTTTTATTTATTATTTAGTAGCCCCCTATCGTACATTTAAGTGACTGGTTCTGCTTTTGACGAAATAGAAGCTAGTTTTATTCTTGTTCCGATTTCTGAACAGGCAGTCTCTGTGTGCCTCGCGTGCTTCAGTTTAAAGACAACAGGAGCGATCGTTTGCTGGGGGTGCACATGGTGGCGAGACATTATTGCTGTTGTTTTTTTTATGGGAATGTTTATCATCTGGAGCTATTAACAGCTCATCAAACACAGATTAATCATTTAGCAGACGCTGGTATATGTGAAGTTGGCAAGTGAAACCATACATGGTGCTAACACTTTGTTTGTTTTACTTGTTGCAAACCTTTATGGTTGCGAATAGCATGTTAATAATATAAAAATATTCAAGTTAAGTTTATTATCAGCTGGATATGATTGTTATTTAGTGTCTTAAAATGACAATGGTTTAAAAATGTCAGCTTACAATTGCATATTTATAAATAAATATATGCAATTGTAAGTATATTTCCAGGATAGGGGGAAAACAACATATGGTTATTAGTTTATTTGAATTGGAAAGAATCTAAATGGTTGCATCCAACTATCTCCAAGTTACTCCTAAAATAAATACATAATAGCTTTAATTAAAAAGAAGTAATCCTGCATATCAAACAGAGGTGGTTGCAGCTTCATGCTCTGAAGGTTTTGTCTTTATTAAGGAAAGACAATCAGATTGTAAGATCTATGTAGCAGAATATAGTTCAGTAGTGGAAGGGGGAAAAAAATAAATGCAGCATAAAAAAAAAGTTGGCCAAAGTTTTATCTTTCAGGAAAACAACCCTAAAGATAAACCGAGAGCTGCAATGGGAAGGTTTAAATCAATGTTATAGTGGACCAGTAAAACCTCACAACAAATTCAATTGCAGCAATCTCTAAAAATAAATGTTCATAACCACTGAATGTTTTTGTTGGTTTGTATAATTTTTTAAAGATCTCTAATTATAGTCCTAAAGAAACCTTATTTTCCCATTGTTAGTAGTGGGTCAGTGCATGTGCAGAGAATTTAACTGAACACCAATATTAAAAAAAAGCAAATTTGTTTACCTGTTTGCTTCAGCAAGGAACATTGTTTTTGTTTTGACTAAATCCTGAGATCATTCTGACTGGGTCTAAATGTGAAACTGTGTTTAGGCAATATTACTGACTGTAATGCCATTTTGGTTGAGTCTATAAGCTAGGATAAGCAAAGCTGTTACTTATTAGCCGCATGCTTGGAAGTGACAAACAAAAGCAGATAGGGCTGACTGTAAACACAGCCATAATGTAACCTCACCCGCAATAAAACAGCAATTTGTTCAGAATCGCGCTCACCCCTACCGCCTGTTTTCCTCTCTAGGCAATCACTGCTGCCCAGAGACGAGGGGAGGATGTTGAGACAACCAAGAAATGTAAACATCTGCTTGCAAAGAAAAAATAAGAGACATTGCTTTATAACTACATAATAATGATTATCTACTAATTGCTTCAAACAACTTCTCTGGAAACAGGGTCTGCAGGGCAGAACAAGCAGCACCTTGTGACCAAAAATACGGCCAAGCTGGACAGAGAGACAGAGGAGCTCCATCATGAGAGGGTTCCTCTGGAGGTGGGCAAAGTCATTCAGCAAGGCAGACAGGAGAAGGGAATGACCCAGAAAGACCTCGCCACTGTGAGTAGATGCTTTCTGTGTACTGACTTTCTGCACCGACTTGAACACAGCCAGTAAATGCATTTTTATTATTTTGGGTACATTATTTTCCATTATGTGTTTTAACCTTTAGAAAATTAACGAGAAGCCTCAAGTGATTGCCGACTATGAAAGCGGGAAGGCAATACCCAACAACCAGGTCATGGGAAAAATTGAGAGAGTCATTGGTAAGTTTTACATAAAGTTAAACATGAGGAGACATGGTGTGTGATTAAAAACCTGCAGAGTTGTGGAAATTTAAACTCGATAAAACAAAACCAGAGTTTTAAATAAGTTTATAGAAACTTCTTCTGTTGCAGTCAAGATAAATGGTTTGTTTAATGATCTGGTGTCTGAACCTGCATACATAACAGCAGTGTTTCCATCAAACTGAAATGCGAAAAAGAAAATGCAAATTTGTTTCCAATTGGTTTAATGCGAATTAACCACGCACTGCGAAGCGTTTTGCCGTCTTATGTTGTCATCCACATTATGTTGTAACGCATGGCTGTAATAAACAGGAAGTAGAGGCTGCAATCTAGCACTGACAACAGATCAATAATCGAGGAAAGTTTTAATGTTATAAAGAATATGTTACTATAGAGAAAGATGTTTTTCCATTAACATGTTGGCTAACATGATGGTGCTTCCAGCCATGTTAACATGCATAATGGGAACGTCCAGGAACACGCTGACAGCGGGAACAGCTTATCAGTCATGTGAAATTAAAAGTGGGCTACGTCAGAGCTGATTGAAAGCGATGTTTTTCTGCATTAAATCTTTGCGAAAGCTGTAAACCACATTGAGCAAGCATGAAAACCTTTTGTGTGAATTTGATCTTGTTTTTCTTTTTGGTTTTCCATAAGCTTTTCTGATGTGATACTTCAAAATGCACATTAGAAAAAGCTGATGGAAAGGCCCAGTTATTTGCTGTTAAACCCTGAATCAAGCTGTATGAATAAACATTTTGGAAAGGTCTGCAGTCTTCTGGGCTGGCTAGAGACACTATGATCAGACATTTCCCGATGAAAAAAACCCCCAAAAAGTCTTTTGATTTTGTTTATCTTGTCTCGTCTTCATAACCTTTATTAGAATGATTTAATTTTAAAAAAGCTTTGAACAGGATATTCTTTCAGTAGATGCACATATGGACCGTAAATGGTTGGAATCTTCATATTTAAGTTTTCATGTAACACAAAAGTTTTATTTGTTTTCTAGGACGGAAGCTGCGTGGGAGAGATATTGGCCAACCCATGGAGGCTAAATCCAAGACAAAATGAAGACAAAGCCTCGAAATCAGCCCTCCCCTTCCCCCATGTACCCTTAACTTAAACCTGAATCCTTTGTCAACCTCCCCCACCTCCATTCCCCTTGTCCTCCATCCAATCCTCTCCCTTACCTGGGCTGATCTCACCTGTGTCCTGCCCGAGGACCTGGTGATCAACTGTACCACTTGCTGTGTACAAATGGGGTCATCTGCAACACTCGATAAACCAACATGATTGAATGCTTTTTTTTTTTTTTTTTTTTCTCAGTATCACAGATTTAAAGATCAGTGAATTTCTTTTCACCTTTTAGACTTTAGCATGACGCCGTTAAGTCATTCAGAAGGTGATTTTTCTTTTTTATGATCAAATAAATCTGACTAACTTTCAAATCTGAGCATGTTGTTAAACCACAAGTGCTTGATCGCATCTTTTTTTTTCACACTTTTAAGACAACTTGGTGGATGTTAATACCATGTTTAAGATGTTTTAATGCTGTTCTGTTTTGGTTTAAATAAAATAAAATTTAGCAGTTGAAGACAATGTTGTCAGAGGTGTAAGATTTCGGAGGAAATTATCGTTTTTATTTCTAAAATTCTTGTCCGGGAGGGGTTATTTACTGCATTGCAACCAGCCTCCAACCAGTCAGTTTAAAATGTTTATGATTACTGTTATCCAGCAGGTGGCAGAATAAGCTCAGAAATTTATTTTATATGATCACTAAAAGCATTTATATGAAACCTCATATGGAATGTTTTTGCCTCCAAAAAAGGTGGCATTGAAAGAAATCAAGTTAAAAAAAACTAAATATATAGTTAGAAAGAAATGTAGGTTATTTAAATCTTTATATTTTGGTATCTCTCCCAAATCCAGTTTTCATTACCAAGATGGAATTATTGTTCCATTTCAAGGACATGTACATAATGTAAAGACTGCTGGAGGGTGAATAATGGAGGGAGGTGACCATTTTTTTTTATTTTTTATGAGGTTTTGTAATTCTAATGTACATCAATTTTGAATGAGTTTTGCTACAGGAACAGCTATAATTACTTGGACTGCTTTAAAGGGGGGAAAAAAAATCTAGCTATGTGTGCAAACAGCAAAACTCATGTCTACGTCAGATGTAAGAAAAATAATTTTGAAATGAATACAAACGAGCTTTACATTTAAAGTAAACAGAAAATGATAGAAAAAACAAAGTGATTTTATTAAGAAGGGGACACAAAAAAAATGATAAAAAAATTTTTCCCATTATTTTTATTCCATAAGCTGTCTGTATAACAATCAGTGTAAAATGCTATGAATTGGTATCTTCCTGCCAACAGATAAATTCTATATTGTTGCGCTTACATTTTTCAGGACCAAAACATCTCACCATTAGACAAATAATTTGGGTGAAAACGGTACTGGTTTAAATGAACACTTTCTGAACTCACTGGTCATACCACCTTTGGTGGGAATGAAGGTCATCTAAGCCTCTGTGGTTTTGGAAATGAAGCTGTGGAGGAATATTAGGATTTGTAAATTAAAAAAAAAAAAAAAAAATCACCCTTGAAGTTTTTTAAGCAGAGGGTGTTTTTTTTTTTTTTTATAAAGTCACAGCAGCATCTCATCAGTATTAAGTGTAGGCTTTTACTAGGCCTCTTTTAAACCTGTATTGTTTTATAAGCTTTTATTAGTTGTTTCACTGGTTCATTTTGGATGTTGCATCACCTTAATTAAGCTCAGGCTATTTCAGGACATCACACCTCCAAGGAGTATCATTTCAGGCTGCTAGTTTATGCCGCAAGTAACAGAATCCATAACTTCACCATTTTCTCTTCCACAAAATATTTATCCAGTATTCTCATTTGGCTGTTTTAGTAGACGTAAGATTTTTTATTTTTTTTTTATCTGGTTACAGTTTGGAACTAAAGTGCAGATTCTTGCCCTTGTCTGCTAATGTCAAATGATCAAAACTATTTGCAGACTTCATTTAGAGGTCAATGACTGCTTCTCATAAATTTCAAATTACTTCTGTTGAAAAATAATCTGTGAGAAAGGACATAAATCTATATATTCACAGCAGTGTGCTGATACTTTTCATATTTTTGTGGGTTTGAGGGGTCTTTCTGGAAAATGCATCAGGCTTTAATAGGATCTTAGCCATACAAAGTCTTAAGAAAGCATTTATACACCTAAAACGTTCATTTTGACACAGTGCAACAGTAATGTTTATGTATTTTGTTATAGTGTTAGACCAATGCAATGCATTGCAAAATTGGAAGATGAAAGGAAACAGATGCTGAATTATCCAGAAAGGAAAAAAGAGGGGCGTAGCATTAGCATTAGCATCAGCACCTCCATTCAATACTTTGCAGATACAGTATAGAGACCAACTGTTTTGCCCAGCCTCATTTTCACAATTTTGAAAGCTCAGCAAGATTGACTCCTGAACATCTAACAGATTCTCCATTAGATTTCAACTGCACTCTTAAATATTTTGCAGCTTTTGAATGGTTTCCTTCCAGGGTTGCTCTGTATGTAGCTTTATAATAGGTATGTCCAAATTCGGTCCTTTGGGGCCGCTTTCCTACAGGTTTTCAATGTGTTTCGGAATCAGCACAACTGAAATCTGAATATTGCAGGTAAGCAAAAGCCTGTTAATCGGCTTTCAATGGAAATCAACTGTGCCGAAGCAGGAAAGCTCTAAACTAGGGGTGTCAAACTGGTTCCAGAGAGGGCCTTGTGGCTGCAGGTTTGCTTGGTTGGAAAAAAACCTGCAGCCACATGGCCCTTTCTGGAACCAGTTTGACACCTGTGCTCTAAACCCTGCAGGACAGCTGACCGACTATGGACATGCCTGCTTTATAATACTTCTCATTAATGGTAATTATTTGTCTCCACCCTAAAGAATCCCGACAGACTGATGCTACCTCCACGTTTGGTTATCATTTTAAAATCCACAGTTTTTTCTTTTCTACGTTTGCTACATCACATACACCCCCAAGGGCTGTGGTTCAAGCGACTGTTCTGTTGGAAGATCCCAGGTCTTTGCGATAAAGCTAGATGTGTCAATGCATGAAGAAAATTGAGAAATTTGAGGAAAAGGATAATCTGCATTCTCAAAAACATGTTTGGCTTTAGAAGCAGAGTGGAAAATTCTTTTAGCAACTTCTCAAGACCAGTATGAAATGGTAACAATATGACTAAATCTGCACTGAACAAAAATCCCTGGTGTGAATAAAGAGATGTTTATTAGCAAATTAATATGAGCTAATGAAAGTATTCCTTATAAATAATGGAAAGATTAATGTTTCACAAGTGACAAAATACGCTATATGCATTTTCCATATTTTAGTTTAAAGGCTGCATTAAAGCACTTTTTGACTTTTTTTGTATTGTTCTCTAGAGATACCCTGCCTTCCTCCCACAGTCCATAAACATGACTGGTTAATCGGTCTCTAAATTGTCCTTCATTAGTGTATTTGTTGTATATCTGGGCGTCTCTGTGTTTCCCTGCGATTTACTTGTATCCTGTCGAAGGTGTATCTTGCCTCTCCCCCAATGACAGTTGTAGATGGACATCAGCCCCACTCTGACCCTGCATGGTGAAGCAGGTATACATTAGATGGATAGATATTTTATGATTGCATTTTCCACGTATATCTATTGAAACTTTCTAGAACCAAATGATAGTGTTCCTCAGCAGCATAGTGAGCACTCCGTGCCATTTTTGATGCTTAAATACAATTGTTCTTTCCTTTTGGTATTTGACCTCCTGACCAGTGTTCAGCAGACAAAGAAACATGCTTGCTGTTGTTACAAAAGGGGTGGTGGTGGGGGGGTTAGTAGGATTGTTGCTCAACAGGCTTCTTCAACCTTGGTGGAAGTGTGTGTGTCTGTGTCTGTCTGAGGGAGAGGGAGACAAGAGACCGGCAGCGTTTCTGGAAATGCCACTCCATTGGTCAAAACACCATAGCAACATGGTTCCACCTATAACGGGGGAGCAGCCGCTGGTTTGAAGGAGTGATGTGAAGCAAAAAGCTGATGGGTGGGGTGAGGGGGAGTCAGTGAACTCCGTTAGGGCCTGCGGCTCCAGACTCCAATTGAGATTCCTCAACACGACCAACCTGTTGATGTGGGGTGGGGGTGGAGGGTAAAGCATGTGTCTCTTTTTAAAACAGCACATATATTTCCATTGTGGAAGTGCAGCTGCTTTATTTTGTTTATATACATTTCCCTTAAAACCTCGGCTCAGTGTAACTTTTGGTAAAATGCAGGCAAGTTTAAGTGAACCAGCACCCTTTGGAGACCAGAAGTTTCCTTGCATTATGCTTTTAGTTTCCTTGAAACCTTAAATTACAGTTTCTTATTACACTATTTTCATTACATTCCTTTTTACAGTAATTTAAAGTAATGCAAATTATACTGTGCTGCTATAAAAAGTAATATTTCCCGTAGCACACTTAAATCCTTAAAAAATTTCCTGTCGAATCTAATTTTAGAAGAAAAAGGTTTCCCGTACAGTTCTGCTGGACCTATGTAAAAAATGAACTGCACTTTTATTTAATTGTGAATTAGGTGTGATTGAAAACACATTTTTGATTATCATCTTTGACTAGGTGAGTTCATTAAAACAGAACCTGTTTGAAAACATTAAAAATGGACCCATTAAAGGAATGCAAAACCAGAGGGGAAGCAAAACCCCTATAAACACCTATAAATACCAATCCAACCCTCCAGACTGAAGGAAGAAGACATTTCTGGTCTGACTCAGGACTACAAATACAAAGGTTAAAATTGTGTTCTCATGGCCATGGTTTTGGAGTTTCTGCAGCTTGTTCTCCACACGTGATCTAAAATGACTTTTATGTCCAGTTGATTCTGACAGGTATTTGTAAACAGATCCTACAGTGGTAGGAAAAAAACTACCCAAGAATTTGCCACCTGAATCTTTGAGAAGTATTTCATATCTTGGCCAGAAAGGTAATTCCTGTTCTTGGAACTTTGGGTAGGAGAATAGATTTCTTTGTTCTTACTGAGTATACTATATGAACCTTTAGTCTAAAAATAGTCCAAACAGCATTTATTCAAATTTTTTGGACTCCTGCTAACCATAGTCACAATTATCATTACCATGTTTTCTTCAAATGAAAAAAAAAATAGCATTGATGAACCTTTTCAAAAAACTGCAAAAGCCCGGGAAAATCTCTAAAGCAATGCAGATTAACCAAATTTTGTCAAGTTCATGATTGTCGAGTTCATGTTTGAACAAAAACGATAAACACGGGTGGAATAAAATATCTCTAAAAGAAACCCCCCATGATGACCAAAAACATTTAATGTTTGTTAAAAAAAATAAATAAAAAACTTTGTGAACCCAATACTTCTGGGCTATTATAAAAATTATTAAAGTGGTGGTAGTAAGATGGTTGAAGGCTGATTTTCTTTAGGACTTGAACAACTTCCTTTAATTGGTGGAACCCTAAATTCTCCTCACTTCCAGAAAATCCTGGAGGAGGATGACAGTCTATCCATTTTTGATCTTATGGATAT